AAACGTTTTTTTTTTCAATTTGTGTATACTATTATTATCTATGTTAGAATGTATTACAACTCCGTCGATATTATAACAAAGCCCGTATCAAATTTATATACACTTGGATAATTTCAATACCAAGATTGGTACGTACTCAAGAGAAATGCGAGCCACAGATGCGTCCAAATCCAAAACGTTTGTGTGGTAACTAATGAGTTGCATACTGCGGTACCTACGGCTAGGGTTGTCGTTATTCGATATCATCTACTTATTTTATTGCAAAAACTAATTTCTTCATAGGCCTTTGGACAGCTGAAACATTCTTAAGGTTGTTTTAAACTTTCATGGTCACTAACATTTCCCATAATATTTTATAAATATTCTTGGGTTTTTCTTTAGATTTGAACATTTAGCAGTTTCATGTTACTCCCGGACCTGCCCGGGACTCAAACTATATCCGTTCGAACATAAAATAGCTTTTATCCTCGAACTCTAACATAGGACAGATTTATATATTTATTTAGGGGTGGTAGTATGGGAAACCAATTTTCTAAGCAGACTTAGTCGCGGGCAACCACCAGTATGCAATAATTTCAAAAAAAAAACCTTCAAACAGTTGCAAACAATTAGATCGAATTGTTCGTCCGATTAAAGGGTTTCATGACATAAGAGAATTTAATTACTTAAATTATGCCCAAGACATATACAAATGCGTAGAATGCTAACCACAAATGCGACTACGCTGCGATTAGCATGCTTGAATAATGAGCAAATATTGCGTCGGTGCTGCACTAATACACCCGCCTCGTGACTAACCAGGTTACATGTGGTTATAGGATTTGAATTTCTATTATTGATTTTGAGATAGTAAACGTTATTCTAAGAAGAGGACTACGAAATAACGCTTTTTCCGTTTTTAACTTCCTACTGGCGAACGAACTGCCGCACGAATTTTGACAGCTCCATAATCGTATCATCATCGTCAAATAATAATAATATTCTTTATTGTAATACACCATACAAGACACATAAGTAAATTAAAAACAAGATAGACATAATGTACACAATATAGGCAGCCTAATTGCAGGACAGCAATATCTTCCAAGCAACCAATAATAGAAAGATAAATAAATATGGAGGTGAAAAGGAGAGATGTAACAGTAAATAATAATAATAATAATAGCAATGACAGGACTACAGATATATCTAGAGAAGTAAAGATAAAGGATGCTAGAAAAATTAACTTCATTGTTGGGATAGAAAATAACTCCAAACTTGATCCTTAAACGAGTTCAGAGCGCGCGCCTTCCGAATAGTTTCTGGCAGTGAATTCCGTATACGTACAGAATGCATAGAGAAGGAATAGGAAAAGAAATCAGTTGAATGACTTGGAATATCAAGAGTCAGGTTAGACGAAGATCGCAAAGTGCGCTGTAAAATAGAAGAGAGAAGCGAGAAACATTATATTAAGTAATGAGGAGAAGTGGGTAAGAAAAGTACAGAGTAAAGAAACGCCAAATTTGATATGGAAGGAATCAGTTTGTTCTTACGTCCGGTAGGGGCGCTGCTTAGTTTCCATATGAACTTTGACGATACGATACGATTACCGAGCTATCAAAGATCGTGATTGCGCCTCTAAAATATTAATGCGCCAATACCTATTGAAAGACTCTTTGGCTTATTGCTAAGTTTACATACAAGCTAGAAACCTAGCCAGCCACGTTATTGTAAGATAGTGTTTAGTAAAGTTAATTATATTTCACTAGTGGGCGTCCGTGACTTCGTCTTTGTTGAACTTCCCCCCCTCTATTCATACCCTTTACGGATGATTTTAGGATAAAAACTATGCTTCCGTGGGATGAGTTCCGGGAAAGGATAATTATGGTTTATAACTGATAATGGAACTGATGATCCAAGGATAGATTACAACTATATTTATACCATATTCAGCGGTCGTTACCTATTCAAGCTAAAACCTCTGAATTCGGTATGTTTGGTAGGTCGGGTTCTCTATTTTGAAAAGGCAAGCACACTTTCGCGTTTATAATATAAGTATGTGTGAATTGAGATTTTATAGTAAATTTCTAATCGATACTTAAATCTCTGTATAACCTTCTAAAAGACCTCGGGCTGTCGAGAACTGCAGCAAGTTAAATTTTGGAACGAGTAACGAAGGCTGCACTAACAGGCTCCTATCAAACTTGGCTAGGAAGGGCGGGCAACTCGAGCAGTGAAGGTGAGCGTTGATGTGCATCTCAAAGGGGGCCTCCTTAAACCGTCATCTGGGTCGCAAGTCCCGGGAACTGCTCAGAGTTTCTTTCTCTCCCAAACGATGAACCCAGCACTCGCCCCCCTAGCTTTAAAGTAGCGTTGTTAAAGGCTGTTTAATATTTCACGTATGATCACGAGCTTCCTTCAGTTTCAATAAAGTGTTAGAAGTACCTATTCTATCTATTTCTGCTTTCATCAGAATCGTGACGATTTTCGCAGTGACATGGTGGTTTATTATTATTATTTTTTGTATTGACTGACGTCTGGGGACTCCGCACGAGTCAAGTGGGGCGTTAGTTGATGTCACGTGCGCAAAAGGGGTATATTTTTATGGAATACGTAATTCTGTTTGACTTCATACGCGATGTCCATATTTGCCGAAGACTCGACGACCTACATGCAAAGAGCGGGGTGCGTTTCCATTCGCGCGTGACGACACGGCATTATTTATTCCGTCATTTGTCACGATGGGATTGCAATTCGATCAATCTGGATGTTTGAATCCAGAGTGCTAAAGTTTTTTTAATTCTCTTTAAAGTGTGACTTTTATCGTCACATTTTTTTTTGTTTTTCTTTAGCATGTCGCATTACATATTTAATTGTTATTAAAAATCAGATTTTATCAACAAGTATCGGTGGTTCAGTGGTAGAAAGCTCACCTTCTGCGAGGGCAGCCCGGGTTCGAATTCTAGGGGGACTTTTTTATTTATGATTTTATTAGTTTCACTTGCATCGCGGTTTCATAAAACCACACCAATTTTTTAGGGTTCCATAGTCCTGACAAGGAACCCTTATAGTTTCCTCATGTTCGTCTGTCCGTCCGCGGTTTCACTTGGAGATTATTAGCACTAGAGTGCTGTAATTTTGTGGAGATATGTTATCGATCACGCCGACAAAATGGTAGAATTAAAATTTTAAAAGTTTTTTTTTAGGGTAGCTGCCCAACATATAACCTGGGAATGTTTTTTTTTCATCATCAGCCCATCGTATGGGACATCGTTGAATAGGCCTTTAAAAATTACTTAGAAGTTTCTAATATTATTTTTCAATTTAGGGATTCGTTTGCGAAATATTGAACTTTAAAGTGCAAATTTTTGTTCGAGTAGGGCGTCCCCCAGGATTTCACACCAGCTCCGCCGTTAGTTATCATTCGTATTTAAAAAAGAATGTAGTATTGATTTTGAGTTTGAGATGCGGTTTGACTTTGATTTAGGTATTTTATTTGAGATACATAGATTGATATTAATTGGTTTTTCTAATTTCCGATATAGAAAATAAAGACTGGCTCAAATATATGGTAGTAACTACAGGCAACTACGGAACCCTACACTGCGCGTGGCATGACAAGCACTTGGTTTGGTTTTTGTTTTTTATTTAAGAAACAATAATATTTGAATACAGATTAAACTGTACCTATATATTTATATTTATACACTAGAGGAAATAGGCGGTTTACCACAAAGAAGCGATAATAACTTTATCGATTAATCATTGAACGGTAATTAGCTAAATTTAAGAGATCAAGCGCAAGCGATTAAAACCTTTTAAACTAATGAGTACGGGGTTGAGTTGTGATCTTTAGCGATAGTTGACTGATTTACACTACCACAATTATCGCAGTTAGGTGGAATCTACGTATATAAAGTATTATAGTTCTTGACGAGAATAGAATACTTGTGTAGGAGATAGGTAGTTCTAAGAGTGTATTTGGTGGTATTAACATTACCACTTCTACAGTACGTAAACCCGATTGCTGCCAACTGCGAAACACATTCTCTATTTTTGACAAGTTTGCACCGTTCCCTATTACTTATAACGCTATACAATGGAAATAAACATCGCCTCTAACGAAACAGGACTTAGCAAATAGAGGGAGACATCGACTGATAGAAAAATTTCCTTGAGAGATTTTAGATGTGCACAGACAGACAGACGGCCCTTTGAGACCATTCGAACACTTTACCGGTACGGTATAAAGAAAACAAAGAGAAAAACACGAATAAATTTAATTTTCTACCTCGCGAAAGCCGCGTTGGATTATTCGTAGAGACAAGCTGCGTGAAGATTTGCTTTAACCTAAATGGAGAGAGGTATTGCTTTCAACAAAGTAGTATCGACTTTATTGTTAATTTTTTACGTTAAAATGACAGCATATACCAAAGGTTATTTTTTTTATTATTAAAAGGAGTCTATCATAGGGAACAAAAGTAGATTTAAAAAATATTTTAGGTATAGGGTTAGGTCAGCAGAAGCTTTTATACTATGTATTGTGTTATCTGCACTTGTGGGAGTAATAAAGATACAATATCGCTAATGAACCTGGAATTTTTTTGCCAACTGATTAGGAGCATAAAGCAAGCTTTAGGTGCATTGCAGGAGTTGTTCAGAAATATTTTAGTTTAATATAATTGCGAAATAGATAACATTATATAATAATGGTAATGATACAGAATATCAAAGGTTTCTCTTTAATGCAAATACCTGCATTCATTCTAACCGACGATAGCGTTGAGAAGAAAATGTAACTGTATATACAAACAATAGCGCGGTACATATATTCCATCAGTCAAATGTTTATTTATTTTTTTACGGAATTTCTTGTTTACATTTTACGCAGTAACGCCGGAGCAGTCAATGTTGTGCATTCAGTCCAAGGAATCAGTCATTGTATACTCAAGATGCAACTTATCAGAAGAACTGAGACATACGCAAAATTATTTTTTTTGGTTAGCTTTACGGGGTTATTGATGTACACCATTTTAGCCTTCTATACCTTTCATACAGCATACACTACAGTTTATGATTCTGAGCATTACCACACTCCTGGCTTACCAAAGCCATTGTTACGTTCAGAAGATCCCAGAACTGACGATGGATTGAAATACATATTAGTGTGGTCTACCCCTGAATTCAAGAACAGGCTCTTCGAAGAAGGTCAAGGACTATTTGTGAAAAACAACTGCTCTTACATGAACTGCTACTTGTCCGATGAAATGCACCTCCTGGAAAGCTACAAGAAAGACTTTGACGTTGTGTTAATAGACATAGGTGTGATAAGACAATCGCTATGGAACAGTGAAGTTATGCCACAGAAAAGGACGGCTCGGCAAAAGTACTTATTTCACAGTATGAGGTCGTCCGACGAAACTCCGGTGTGCAACGTAAAAGCTGACGGCTTTTTCAACTGGACTTGGTCTTATAAGATTTATTCAGATATCTCCACTCCTTTCATTGAAGTGATAGATACATCTGGTCATGTAGTGGCTCCTCGGCGTGATGTGAGATGGATAGAAAATATGAATCCAATATCAAAGAACGACAAAAAGAAACTATTGACGAAGAAAAAAGCGGTAGCATGGATTCCAGAAAGTTGCAAAACAAGATCTAATAGAATGGAATTTGCGAAAAATCTGCAAGAAGCTTTGAAAGAACACAATTTGGAGTTAGACATTTATGGGTGTTCAATGAAGTTGTGTCCAAAAGAGGGATGTATGAAAGCTTTGGAAAGAGATTACTATTTTTACTTAGCTTATGAACCGAGTCATGCTGAAGATTATGTTACCGATGAAGTATTAAAAGCTTATCATCATAATACTGTTCCGATTGTAAAGGGTGGAGCCGATTACAGATAGTGAGTAACCTTTAAACTATTTATAAAATAGTTTTAATAGTAAATAAATTTAAAAAGCGGCTAATTTTAAAAAAGTGTTTTTCAAGGCATTCTTGCAATTTGTATAAATCTTGCAATTTATTGGCGATAACATCTTCGTCTTTTATTAATCTAAGGGTCTTTTAATAAAGGGTGATTTTTACTGAAGAAATATTTTGTTTTAATTGCAGTTTTCTACCAGAAGGCTCTTACATCAATGCCGGATCGGGTTCAGTTGAGAAATTGGCGTCCCTCATCGATTTCAGTATCAGAAATCCTTCAGTGTACTACAGTTTTCATCAATGGAAATACTACTACAGAATACGTAAAGTAAACCACAATAGAGGTGTGTGTGATCTCTGCGCAATGTTGAACAATCGGGAGAATGTTCTTACTCATAGCAATTATGAGAAGTTCAGGAAGTGGTGGTATGGTGATTTGAAGGAAAGATGCTATCCAGTCGGTGCTAAAGAAGAAAAATTTGTAGTATCTTACTTTAATGATAGTTGAAAAAATGCTATACAAAAGCTTCCGAGACAGAAGTGAGTGAATTATGTGTTTTTAGCCAAGGCTTTTTAATTCTTCATACAGGCTACCGCATGAGGGAACAAGTAACAGAAATGGTAAATTCAATTTGTGGAATTCAAAAAGTAACAGTGATGGGGAATTTCCTCAAAAACATGCATATTATTGTGCATTAAAATTTACGGAATAAAAATACAACTCCATATCCTGCTTCTTTTATCCTACCTCCTACTAAAATTATAATTATGAAATGTTGTAAGTTTATCACTCAATTACACACAATGGCTGACTGGATTGGGTTGAAAGGCAACTATATAGTTTATTACTTAGATTGAGCTATAGGATACCTTATCCCTGGAGAAAAAAATAGTTTCCTAAGGAATGGAAAAAAAAGTAACTGCTGCTAAATTTTATAATCTAAAAGGTGATTGAATTTTTATATAGTCAGATAGTTATTCCAGGTTATTAAGAGGTAATTCCATAAATAAATTATTATAACTAGACATTCGCGTACTGTATAGTAGTAATAGTTTTAAATTAAGATTTTCTTTGTTCGCAAGTTTGTGAAAGAGACCATCTCGAGTGAAAGCCTGAACTTTGTCACCTCCTTGACATTCTTTTAAAAGTCCTATAAAAGACTGTTGGCATTTACTGCATTAAAAGTGAGAAATATTAAACAATGGATGGCAGGAAATTGGATTAAGGAATTTCCATAAAAGTCTTGGCGGATAGCGGCGGGAGACATTATTTAAATAATATTTTAAATTCTCTATAGGATATCGCTAAGAATAGGATAAAAGGTCTTGAGTGATTTTATGGATATTACCTGACTCGCCATGTTATTGAAACCTGTGATCGTTTGTTTCCGGAGGTATTTTGAATAGATTGAGAAGTTTATAGTAGAGAAGTTTAAAGATAAAGCTTAGTTATTAGCTAGTTCGCAGCGACTAGCCCGTCATATGTGAAGATTATATAACAGTAAAATAAGTAGATTTATTCCCCAGAGACAGAGCATTATATTGGTGTTGTTGTATTCTTGTTGGTGAGTATGGTTTCAAAGCTTCACGAGTAGAAGATTGGGTTCAGGCCGGCAAGGTGTGAATGACTGTTCTGTATACGTATTCTGTGACATGCAATCTTCTAACAATTGTCAAATATCTAATACTGGCTGTTTCTACAGACATAGCAACATTTTGCCGTGTAATGACAATGCTTATCTAATGTCTAAAATGGCAGCTATCGAAATCGGAGGTAAGATTTTATTTTACAGAATCGGCCTGCTGCTTGTGACTACGACTGCAAGAGTGACAATGCTACTCTGACATTAACCTGCACGTAAAGTGGGGTAAACTGCTGTGACTGCGAGTGGGGTAAATAATCCATGCGAAGATAACCGATGGGGTGCTTTTGCGTATTACTTTTGCTTAAGAGAGGTAGGGCATAGCGGATTTGTGCGGAGACGCGGTGAAGTCCCTCAACGGGGATCTCGTGGTGCACTTAACAGCGTAGAGGTTTTTTCAGCGGATAGTATGCCGTTTGCAAGTTCCCTCAGTACATTCGAATTATCGACAAAACAGTTATCTTGTACGTTCATGTCACTTATTCAATTCATTAAGTAACGCGAACCTGGATATATTTTATGACAGTACTGCGGCGTTGAGGCAAGCACTGGTTACTAAACTATTTACAAATTGCTAACCCAAAAATTTTGCATCAGTGTGGATTCCCCGAGCGGCGCTTAATGAGTTTCTTTCAGAAATTGATCAGCTATATATTTTTTTTTATATGTGAAAACTTGTTATTGGCTAGTAATCAACTAAATTAGATACAATGTAAAAATAATAGCTGTAAGTTTTCCGAAGAAATAAAATAAAATAAATAAACAAGTAAGTGCTCGTAAGCCGCGCGGACTGCCTAACGGCTTCTCCGTTTCGCACCCGTGAGACATGCGAGAGGCTAGGTGTGAGGTACGTTTCGTCAGGGTGCCCATTAAGGGCGCCAACGTCTGTAAATAGAGATTTTGAAAAAAGGGCATAGCGAATTTCTCGCTGGAATTGGAGCGCCCGTCTAGGGAAGTAACTTCCAGCTTTACAGAAGTAAAAGAATACAATTTGTTTCTAGTTATAATTTCTTTAGATTTAAACATCAAGCAGTTGCATGCTTTAAAATAATAAATATTATAACTATAATTGCTATTTCTTCTTTCAAATGTTTAATACTTGTAAAAGTATTCATTTGACATTGTGGGTTACCTAGAATGCGAAGAGATGGCGCTGCCTTGCAGCTTAAGAATGGCTAGAAGAATTTCGACGCGGTCCGTGAGGGCCGCGGTAGCATAATTGGTCAGTGCATTCGCCCGGATTGCGAAGGGTGCGGGTTCGAGTCCCGTCTGCTGCCTGGTCCGCGTGGAATTTTTTCTGGTTATATTTTCTTTAGATTTAAACATCAAGCAGTTGCATGCTTTAAAATAATAAAAATTATAACTAAAAGAATACAGTAAAATAAAACTGCCTTTTGGTGGTTTTATGTTTCTGTCGGACAGCAAGGTTCCAGGGCTTCACGGGGTAGGGGACTGGGTCATGATAGGCAATAGAGCTAGGGATATTTTGGGTATCGCAAGCGTCCATCAGGCGGGTCATACTCTTGTTTGCCACACTTTTCACATAAAAAACAACATCCATTATCGCCGTGCCTGTATCGAAAATGCTTGATAATTCCTCTTTTATATGACCATTTATGGACTCGATGGCGCGGGTCGTTAGCGCGTTCGGCTGCAATCGTTGAAGTTAAGCAACTATCGCAGTGCTTGATCATTGGATGGGTGACCAAAAATATTCTATCTCGAGTTCCTCCGTGCTTTGAAAAGCACGTTAAGCTGTTGGTCCCTGCTGCACCTGCAGTTGTTAACACGCACCAATCCGCACTGGGCCCGCTTGGTGGGTCATGGCCCAATCTCCCTATTCCATCCATAGGGAAGACCTGTGCCCCAGCAGTGGGACATTAATAGGCTGACGATGATGGCCATTTATATCTTTTATATTTACAAGAACATGGATAATAAAAAATATTTAGGATTAGTGAGACAAAGTAAAACCTAATTTAGTCATCATATTTCTTTGTGAACCATGAATTGTGCAGCTAATAAAAACCAGTGTAAATAAGCGGCAACGCCCGTGTTTTTAGCAGCAAAATATAACTTTTCTAAACATACTACATACTCGAACTGACCAAAGGTATCACTTTACCATTTAAAGCCATTGAATAACAAAATTTGTAAAATATCCAAACATTCGACCTCAAAGTCAGAGGAACATAAACAAACTGACGTCACTTATTAGCATAGTGAAGGAGTAAGTAGGGTCAGAAACAAAGGACTGTTTAATATTCGAGCAGCTATCTCGACGATATGCTAACGAGAGTTTAATTCTTGAATTGGTAGAAAAATCTGTAGTACATAAGTACATAAATATATTATGACATGATGAAGTATAGCTATATAATTGTAATACTACATGTATCATAGCATTAAAAAAGGGGGACCATGTGTGATTTATTTTTTACTTACACGTACACACACTATTGTTAGAACTTATTGATAAAGTAAGGTTATTGATCCTTAAGAATTTAGACAGATAAGCGAGAGAGAGATATATATAATATTAAGATTCCATTAATATATCATTAGTCGCAGACAATAATACTTGGATAATAATGTATATTTCTTGCGCGATATAATTTAGAATGCGATTTCGATACGCTAATCAGTTATTAATGGGTAATTGACCAATACCTCTAATTAATTCAAATCATTACTTCTCAATCGTGATCGTGTACTTTCAGCTGCTTTCATTTTATTTTAAGTATTTGAATGTTTCTTAGGTTTTCACGCACACCCATCATTAAATAAAACAAGTTTTAACGGTATAGTTGTACTGATTTATCAGTGTAAATCAAGTTTCAACGGTATACACTGATAAATCAGCGCATCTATACCATTGAAATTTTTTGAAAAGAACCTTTTTTTAAACCAACCGAATTTAGAACTTCCTCCTATTTGAAATCGGTTAAGAAATCATCAAAACTGTTATTCATAAAATCGAGCGATCTTTACATAAGAACCATAGATCCAATTCACACTCGACATGAATCTCGAATGACAGCTGTCTCAGTTACTCTAATCAGAGACGAAAAGAGAAAGATGCCGCCACAAAATTGTGAAGAGACCAGATGGACTTCGTCAGACTTGCCCTCGAGTTGCTAATCATCTCGGATTGTTTGAATTTTTAAGCTGCGATGCTAACTCATTTACAAGTCTTTGTATTATGAAATGTTCTAGACTTTTAATAAAAAAATGTGCTAAAAAAGAAGATTCTTTGCCTCCGAATATGGTCATATATATTTTGTAGATGAGTGTATCATGAATTCTTCTTCCTAGTCATGCACTCTTGGCAGAGTGGTCGTAGTGATGTCTCGGTCGGTTCCTGTGCCACTGATGCGTTGCCGTCTAGCTCGGTATTTTGCAGAGAGGGAGCCATCTTGTAAGCTGGAGAACGTCGCCGATTTAATAAGGTCTGTCCACCGCGTAGAAGAGCCCGCGAGTTCTTTTGCATATTACTCGTTACAAGCACTTCTTGTAACGAGTGATATGCCCGAAGAATTTGAGGATTCATATTTGCACAGTTGACGATAATATCTCTCTTTGATGTTGAGTTCTCTCAGGATTGAAACGTTGGTTCGGTGCATCGCGATTCACGGAATTCTTAGTAAGCGTATGATGGTTATTGTGATACAGTTTTACTAAGTGGGGACAAAAATTAACAAATTACTTTTTCAGTAATGAAATTTACGAATAAGTAAGTTGCGAAGGGATAGTCCATAAGCGGAAAGTATGACTTGGCACCAGTTTTCTTGAGTTCAGTTACATTCCCTTCAAACGATCCGCCTGCTATTAGGCGGCCGCCATAACCTATAAATACTTGCGATAT